ATTTGAATATTATTATCATGTTTGAAATTTTTATAACTTAGTATCTTAGAAGCTCTATTATTATTCCTAATGTTTCAAAGTTTTTAAAACAGAAATTTTCCAGATTATTTATTTATAGATGATTGACATCATTAGGTGTTTTGAGTTTATGTTTCCTTTCACCAAATAAACAGAGGCTGTTTGAAACTTATTTTATTTGAAAATGCTTTCAAAATATTACAATGGAACTTTGAACTCCATTCAGAGCTCAAATATCAGCAATCAAAATGAGGAAAAATGGAAAACTTCTCTATTAGATATGTAAGAAAAGCTTTTTTTTTCTTAAATTAAGAACAGTGGAAATTGGTATGGTTTGAGCTTGACTTTGAAAATACATTCAACTTTAGAGTATTTATGACTGGGTGTTTTGTTTCATCATTCTATTAAGCTTAGAGTAACTAATTTGGTCCAACTATAGAACAAGTTACTTATTACAGAAATAGTGTATGTATGAAGTATTAGCTGTCCTGATGAGATGACTTTGCATCTCATTTGGGCAAAAGTATTCCACTTTAAAGCTATTTTCTACTTTATTTACTAAGCCTGAGGATTTCAGAGAAAAGAGGGAGACTGATTTCATACAGATGCCTAGCACACATTTTTAGGTTTTTAGTTACCTCATACTGATACTTCTACATGAGCACCACAAAGCAAAAGAAACCAAACCCAGAACAACCTTCCCTCCTTGAGAAGAGAGAAGGTGCTTACAAACATAGTTCTAAAGGTTGTTTTTTTAAGGGAAATGATGACACAAAATAAAATACTGATGTTAAACATTTTCGTATGCATCTGCACTACATGGCTATATCAAAAATTTTAAGATCATTTCAGTTTACTGCAAATAAACAAACCAGATTTAAATTGCAGAACGTAATGACCTGGCATCAGATCATCCTGAAGCAGCAGCATTAATTCTGAAACCTCTAAACTGAATTAAATGTCCACTTCTTTGAGAGGAATGTAAGGTAGCTCTATATGCTTGCTGCATGTTTATTAAAAAGTAATTTAAAAACCACATGAAGGCAGGCAGCAGAACGACAGTACGTGTAAAGTACATGCCCGTTATATTTTCAAGACTGGGCTCTAAAATAGGAACCACAGATGTTGAAAACTTCATGTGTTCTAGAATACAAAATTGTGTCAAATATGTGACCTTGTTATAACCTAAAGCTTACAGATTGTATATAATTAACTCTAAACAGCATGCTACAGAATTCATATATTTAATGAAAGACATGCATCTTGCTGCAAAATACTTCTGCATACTTTGTTGTGTCAAAGTTGTATACAGATTTTTTTGCGAAATATGATGGGACAGAAATAAATGTCTCAATTAATCATTACATATCTTCCTCCTCTCATTCTCAACTACATAAGCTAACAAATTTTTGTGATTTCTTGTTAGTCCCAACTTAATGTATTTATTGGTCATCACTAACCCACTAGAATTCGCCTTTGCATGTATTTCAGGCATGCTGAAATAAAATAAAAATATAATTTTTAAAAGATGTCACTCTTGCATAAAATAAACATATTTTGTAATTGTTACTCATCTCTGCATTTACATTTCCTTGAAGATATATCTTGGAAAATTGTTCATTTTCACATTTCTCACAGAACAGCACAAAAATATTTCTAGTGTCTAAGGGAGGTTTTACTCAATTCATCAGCTTGGTCAGAAGGTGGAGCTCTATACATACCTGTATCACTTATTGCACATAAAATCTGCAACTCCATATAAAAACACAGACCTACTCAGAAAACAAACCTGCATACAACTCCAAGATACAATTTGTTTCATAAATACAGCAGACCACGTCTGATAATAAATGGCTCCTCTTCTAGCATTTGCAATGATTTTCAGGAAGTTAAAAAAGTCACAATGAAATTTAGTATTTCCAAAGTCCTCTGTTTCTTTGAAAAATAGGTTTGCATTATTTTGAAAGGTAGTAAGATAGTTGATACTTACAGGCATCTCTAATATACAACAACATGGCTACAAAAATGTAGTCGACTAAATTCAGGGTGATACTGTCAGCAAATAGAGCATCCCAGACAACCAGAAGGTCCTGAAGTGGGAATTCACGTCCAAACAGGAGCCTTACCCATCGCCTGAAAAAAAAGGGAAAAGACGTGATTTGTATTGCTCCATTTTGCCAAGTATGGTAAAGTCAGGATGCGTATCACAGGACTAACAACAGAAAATTTTGCAAAGTGTGAAGATCTGTGATAACTATTTAACTAATTACACTTGTGGAAATATTACTGCATCTACGCTAACGAAGTGACACATTACAGACAGTAAAATCTTAACTGACTAATATTATTAAGTGGGTGAACCTCAAAGGACAAAACATATCAAACCTACATACCATATTTTTGAGCATTTAATGTGACAGGGATCTAAGAGGAAAGGGAGAGTATGTTACACAAGAAGAGGCTGGAACAGCAAAAACAGGAGGGTGAAGCCAATGGTTTATGAGAAGCTCTGAAAAGCCCAGTCGAGTGAAAGCCAGTTCAGAGGCAGATGCCATTAAAATGGACCGGGTCACCCATACTTTGAAGAGGCTTTCTCCCTGTTATAGATGACAGTGTTTGCAGCTCCATGTAAAATATGCTATGGATGCTATTTTGATTAAACCTAATTTAAATCTTTACCAGATTTAGTGATAACCCACATGTAGACTATACTGTTAATTCCTGTTCATATCTGTGCTGTTTTCATACCTAGCAAAATGTGAAAAATCATCTTATGAAATGCAATATTTACTTGAGGCTGGAGGCTTGAGATGCAGTAGAAGAAAATTATTTCTCAAGGTTTCTTATTTCCAGTTATGGCACTTACACTGACTTACTCGCTGACCTCAGGAAAGGCACTTTCCTATTCCTATTCCGCTAACTTTCTACCTTTTTTAGATAGGATTATCCAAGGTTAAATTTGAAAGAGTTAAAGAATAGTTAGTAGCATTAATCCTGAAATAGTTATTATGAAATGGACTTAAAAATAATGAATTACATTTTTAGCTGGGATATGTAAATTACTATGCATGTGGAATCTGTTTATTCAGTGGCAAGAAAAGATTGATTGCAAATTTCTGCTAAGCAAATTAAGTCATTCTTTAAAACTCACAAAAATTTCTAAAAAGGCAACTAGAAATTTCACCAAGATTAGTTGCACTTGTAAGAATTCATGTTTAACCACTTTTGTCCCAGAACTCATGGTTGGTCTAAGGCATTTGTTGTTTTTTTTTTCCTGATTCCAGTAACAAAAGTACATTTCTAGACAAATGAATTCCAACACGTCAGTTAAGCAAAAGCTTTTAAGATAGACACAATCTGTACAAAAAGACTCTCTCTTACTTATAAAGGAGAATCAAAGGGACCATTTTGTAAGTCAAGGTTTTGTTCACTTCAACTTTTATTCCCCTCACCACTGGAACCATATGCATAATCTGCAAAAACATCCATGTTACAGATTTAGAGATCACCATGCGGAATTTTTATCCTTGCAAGACGTATTCCCATTTAAACATGAAAATAGGTGATTTCAAAAGACAGCATAATCTCATCCTTATATCAAACTTTTACTTCCTAAGGTCTTGAAACTTCTTATGTTAGTGTAGTAATTATCAAAGTGTCAATATTAGCTACGACAAAATACAAACTCTACGTATTTGCCTCTCTAATCAAATCCCTTTTCTACGAGGACTTATTTTCAGGCCTCAGAAAGAGAAGTCAGAAGAACTGTTAACACAAAAGCAAGGCTTAGTGAGTGCATTTAATACCATTTCTGTTCTATCTAAGGGATTTTGCCATATAGTGGCACATTACCCTACAGTGCCTAGCCTACAGGAGACTATTATCCTATGGTGACACAAACATTACCCAAACTCCGCGTGAAGCCTATTACTTGCATTAACAACTCCTCCCACCTGTAAAGTCACAACTTTCAAGTTATACAAACTGTTAGGCGAGAAATTTCAGCTAAGCTTGAAGCATTTGAGCTGACTCTGCTTGCAACTATCCAAACCTCATTCAGCAGCCTTGCTAAAAGTCTAATACATTTCAAGGGAAAAAATACACCATGGTGTAATGGGATTTGTTATTAGTCCTTTATTAGAAATCTCTTTTGCTTCTTTACTACTTCATTATGCAGTGCTAATCGTTTGTAGATGCAGGTTTATTCTGCTCAAGCAGAAGTCATTCCTTTTTTTCAGCTGCTTTTATATTTTCTCCTGGGAAAATTAAATCTCAGTCCCCAGAGGTATCACGTTTCACAGATGTAGACTGCTGAAGAACAACTGGACTTCCTTTTGCAGCCATAATATTACCGTTAATTATTTGAACCTCCCTGTTTTAAAGGGGGTAAGCAATTCATACTGTTGTAAATGCATATACACTAACTGCTCTCTTTTCTTCGGCAGCATTTAGCTCATAGCATCTATAAACCAAGGACCCTATTGCCTATGAACCACGCTGCCATATGGCAGGACTTCACTCAGCTTTTATATTCATAAAAAGGGATCTTAATTTCTTAAAGTAAGTGTTCACACTGAAAAGCTGTCTTTCAGAGTAACACATTTTTATTGTTTTTACAAATATTTGCAGAGAATTTAAGACACACTTAATAATTGCATTGGACCTTTTTTTTTTAATAGCTGTCTGTGTTTTAAATATCGTTCTGTCCTGTTAATCTTGCCTTACATCTGTTACACCTGCAGACTGTGAGGCTCACAATAGTATACCTTTTATCACATGCAATACAAAATATACAATAATTCATATTTTACCAGAGATACTTAGCAATTAAAATCTACAAAAAAATACAGATTCTTTAATGCCATAATACACCAAGGTACTGTTACCTACATTGTGGAATATGTAACTATATCTTCCGCTTATGATTCTTATACAATTAAACCAATATTCTCAAGAGATCAGTAATTACTAGCAATAGGTAATGATTCATTAATGACCTTACAATATAGAGAAAGCAGGAGAAAAGTGTGATCTAGTAAAGCCATTAAATAAGGTAACGATCCAGCCTTACCGGTTTTAACTAAAACCACAACCACTTTGACTGAGATTTACAGGACAATTCTCCAAGCATCAATAAAATTAACTTATGTGTTACATATATTTAGCTGTTTATCTTCTCTGGCTTGGGAGGCAGAGTTTCCTTTAAAAAAATCAAATAAGCCTAAGAAATGGTTAGAGATGAGGTGATACAAGCAGTTTAGGAGTGTTTATGAAGCCAAACAACACAATGAAATCAGAAAGGATAAGAAAAACCATAAGGCCAGGAAAGGGAGAGCATGACTCTAAAGCTACTTCTAAATGACTAAATCTAGGACCTACAACTTGTCAACAAGTTGCCTAAAAGTTCTACTGTAAGAGCCTGTTTTCAGCCATTTATACTTTTGTTAAACTCAATCTTCAATCTTCAAGTACAATTTCCACTTCAAGCATCTGCTCAAGGCTTGATTTTTTTATTATTATTCATTGATACCATTCATTAGAACAAGGTTAAACAAAATTCTGCTCACGCAAATTTATTTTTTCTCCAAGCTTTTCATTAAGAAGGTCTAGAATCAAAACAACAAGGTCTTCTGTATTTCCTCTGTGCTGTGAATATAAAAAAAAAGCCCAAATCTGATGATTCCTTGCTTGACTTAAACACAGCAGAGTGCAGATTTCCACAGTGTAGGTTCTGTTTCTTCCTAACTCTCCCCACCAAGCCAATGGAGCATCTGCCATCCCATCCTTCCTACATGGGAAATGACAAAGGTGCGTATCACCCATCTGCAATGGTTGGAGCCACTTAGTGGATGTGACGGCGGAGGATGCTGTTCGTCTGGTTTCCAATGCTTGCAAGACTTACTAGCAGGAATCTTCCAGAAAAAGGAAGGGTCCGTGGGATTTCGTAGTATGTCATTTAAACCTCAGTGCAAATTTTGCTGCATTTTTTTTTAAAATAAGAAATTATTTAAATGGACTGTAAGTATTGAAAAGAACACCATCTTATCAAAACTAAGCACTTGGAAGCCGAGAAATGCCGAAATTAACATCAGCTGTTTACTGACTGAGAAAATGATATGTAAGCTCTGTCTCTTTAAACTCTGTCATGAATTATGTTCAAGCAAACATTCGTAGCCAGTGCAATTTACTATGTAAAGTCATGGTCAATAATTTAGGAGAAAGCGTAGACAGAGTTGAGCTGTGATCTGCTTGCTCAAAAATAAGATATGGAAAAAGGATGAGAAGCGATGTTTGTATAACACTTTCAAAAGGACTTAAGGCTACACAGAACATAAAGAATTAAATACCAACAGATCAATGCCAGGCAGTAAGCAGTACTCTGGACTGACCTGATGCCTGCATTATGATTTCGATGTCTATGTTCCTAATGTACAGACACTGGGTGGACTGCAATTGAAGAAGGCTGTGTATCTCCCCAGCTGTCCTTCTGCAAAGGTACCCAGGAGCAAGAAGGGCTAACATGGGGACTACTGCTCCCGCAACAGTGCTTGCCAATGCTTGCATGGGTGAAAAGAGCAAAGAGAGCTGCAAATATACAGCAAAAGTACCCTCAAAGTAAGACACTTCGTATCAGAAACTGTCCTGGATTCGGTAGTTGTCAGACACAGTCAGATGGGAGATGGGCAAGTGCAATCAGAGGATGAAATTTATAGTGGTGTAAGATAGTTTACTTTCTTTTAATGACATGAAGACGATCAACCTAGACAAGCTTTAGTAACCTTTCAGCTTAGACATGTTACACAGTCCATTTCACCAGTGTTCTGTCTCCTTTCTTAACAAATCTTGTTTATATTAAGACTTCTGGCTTTATACAGCTCTGGGATTTTGTATGGAATGTCCTAAAAAGATTAATAAAACCTTCAAAGGATATAAGACAGCGAAGGAAACATGCCCCAAGTATAATCACGACTTGTTCTTTCAGCTACTCTTTGATAAGGGTCTTTCTTATGGAAGGGCAGTACTGCTCATGGTGCATGAGAAACTCTTAATGGTCGCAGATGAGAAGAAAGGCAAAAAAGCTAAGTGCAACAATTAACAAAATGACATTTTTAAAATAAACAAAACCTTATCAA